TGTGCTTTAAAGTCTGAAGATTACATGCGTGTTTCTACTTGCTCTACTAGAAAAGAGATTTGTGATAGGTTGTGTATTACTTATAAAGAAACCAATGAAGTAAAACAATCTCGTTTGAATATTCTCTTGCATGACTACGAACTTTTTTGTATGAAACCTTTTGAAACAATTTATGATATATATGCACGGTTTACTCAAATTGTAACTTCTTTGCATGCCTTAGGAAGAGAACTTTCAAACTATGAAAAAGTGAACAAAATCTTAAGATGCTTGCCTTCCTATTTTGATGCTAAAATCACTGCTATAACTGAATCTAAGGATTTAAACACCTATTCGATTGATAACTTACTTGGCTCACTCATTGCTTACGAGCAAGGGGTGAATCAAAGAAATCTTGATGCAGATGAGAAAAAGAAAGAGAAAACAGTGGCACTGAAGGCTCACCAATCAGACTATGACTCTTCCGGGTTTGAAAGCGATGACTTTGCCTTAATCACAAGACAATTCAAAAACTTTTTAAGGAAGAAACATAAGCATCATCAAAGTTGGAGAAAAGGTAAGGATAATAAATATCCTAAAGGATCGTCTGATGTGGTTTGTTATGAATGCAGGAAGCCCAGACACTTGAATGCTGATTGCCCTACACTTAAGATGCACACAAGAAAGGAAAAGAGTGAGGAGAAATCTAAGTTTAGAAAAAATAAAAAGAGACTTCAAAAGGCGTTTTGGGCGGATTCTCCATCAGATTCATCGGAGACGGAACCAGAAGATGAGATAACAAACTTGTGCTTATTGACAAATGATAATCTTGATCAAGAAGAGGTATGTGAACTTTCCTACGATCAACTTCTTGAAGTTTCTGAAAAAATTCATGCATCATATAGGAAACTTAAGAAAACACATACTAGCATGAAATTGTAATTTTTGAATTTACAAAAAGAGTATGAAGTTATTCTCAAAGATCATTCTACGATTGATTCAAATCACATGACTCTACTTGATGAATTTGATGAGTTAAACAAAAAGCATTGTGAATTAATTGAAGAACATGAGTTACTAAAAGCCACACATACCTTACTTGAATATGATTTTAAGAATTCTAAAGAGATGGTGAAAAATTTGAGGATTGATAATGATGCCTTAAAAAGTACTAACTTGATGATTCAAAATGAATTGGATACATTTAAGAAAACTAGGATGACACCAACACTTGATCAAAAGTCAAAACCTAGGAAGAGGCATTATAACTCAAGCCATTTAAGGAATCCTTTTCCATGTGTTAGATGCTTTTCATATGGCATGCTAGGACACATCTCACACACTTGCACTGTTCACCATAGTACACGTTGGGTGTGGAGACCAAAGGTGTATGATTTATAACATACCACACATGCATTGCATTCTACTTTTCATAAGAAGGGACCCAAACCTATTTGGATTGCTATATCTGACATTTGATAATTTTGCAGGTATGCTCTCGCAAAAGGCCTCGTGATAGTATGTGGTATTTGAACAGCGGATGCTCTCGATATATGACTGGTGATGCAAATCAATTTATTTTGCTGGAGTCCAGGACTGGAGGCAAGGTTACTCTTGGAGACAACACCACCAGGAAGGTGGTAGGCTCAGGTATAATTGGTAATTCCAAGAACCTTATGATTGAAAATATTTTGCTTGTAGATGGATTAAACTAAGGATTCAGAAAAAGCTAGGTTGTGAGATCTTGACCATCCATAGTGACCATGGGGGAGAGTTTGAGAAGAAAGATTTGGAGATTTTTGTGAGGACAAGAGGATTAGCCACAACTTCTCAGCTCCTATGACCCCTCAGCAGAACGGGGTAGCTTCTGAAGGAGTTCACAAGGGTTGCTCCAAGCATTATTCCACTTATTTTTCCCTAAAGTCTCTTGTCCTTGGAAGGGTTGGGAGAGGTAAGCTTCAGAGATCGATCGAGGTTCTTTGCCTGCTTCAAGAGGAAACAAAAGGAGTTGGGTTCTCTGCCTTGCCGGGGGTGGCAAAAAGGAGGTGTTTTGTAAGGGCTTCTCTGCATAGCTGTGGGGGCTAAAGGAGAGTCAAATTGGTAGTGGAATACTCGGAGGGTGCCTTCGGGGAGTGGATGTAGGTCAAGTTGATCGAACCACTATAAACCCTTGTATTCTTTTTACTGCTTCCGCACTTATTTTTCCGTGGTGACTTTAGTTTGTGATATTTGTTCTTGGTTTTAAAAAAAATACCAATTCACCTCCCTCTTGGTTAGTCTCGGGACTAGTTCATAGGGCCTAACATCCCTAACGAACTTTCATTTCATTCAATCGTAGCATTTCTCGCAATTTCATGAACTCTCCTCTGATAATCAGAGAGGGAGGTTTGGTATCCTTGAAGAACATTGTACCAGAAAAGGAAAAGAATTTTTTTCTGACTTCAACAGTAAGTCATTCTCAAATAGGTCAGTTTTTTTCCCTAAACCTAATGATATGGAAGCTTCTTCTTTGGGTTGCAAGGATAATAATTCTTTGATGAATGATGTTGGTGTTGGTAATTCTTCATCTAGAATGGATAGTTCTAATGTGTGGATTAAAAAACCACATATTAAAATTAATTTCAATGGAGTTTTTGATGGAAATGAGGATGTTAATGTTGTCAAACTTGATGTGGAAAATGAAAAGGCCAATGTTCAAGTTTTAATTTGAGAAATTCATTGGTGGTAAAAATTCTGTGTAATAACTTGTCTTTTTCAATATGTTCTCTTGAATTAAGGAAGCAATGGACTAAATTTTGAGGGTTTCATATAACCTCTCTTGGTTTGGATTGGCTTTTGTGTTCTTTTCAATCCTTTGAAGCAATGGAGGAAGTTATTAATGGAGGACCATGGTATGTTGGGGGATTTGTCATTGGTTTAGATATATAGTATCCTAACTTCTCTCTATCTCCATGGTTGGGATTTCTTCTCCCATTTGGGTTCGTCTACCTCATTTGCCTCTACATTGCTGGGATGAAACCAATATTACTAGAATAGTTTCTAGAGTTGGGACTCCTTTATTATTAGATGGCAACATGTTTAGATGGGGAAGAATGGAATTTGCTAGAGCTTGTGTTTGTATTAAATTAAATTCTAAGATTCCTTGTGGCATTTGGGTTGAAGGTCTTAATGGAAGGTTTTTTCAAAGATTTGAATATGAAATCATTTCATCTTTCAAATGTGGAAGGATTGGACATAAAGATTCTATATGTCCAAATGTCCCTAATTCACTAAATATGGTTGACAATGAAGTTGCTAAAGGTTCTTTTCAAGTTAATAATAACTCTCATGGGCCTTGGATGCATGTAAAGTTTAAAATAGAAGAAGCCAAAAAACTTTATTTGTTGAGAAGAAATCTGATTTTCTCTCTAAGAGTAATCATGTTAAGATGAATTCGGGTAGGAATCCTAAAGTAGTTAAGGAAAATGTTGCTCATATTGTATTTGATAAGATTACATCAGATCTTGAAGATTCCAATAAATACAGTGTTTTATCTCCTGAAGGAAATGATATTATGGAGGCTGAATTAGATTTTATTAACAATGTTAACTTGGAGAAAAATTTAATTAAAGAAGCTATATGCAAGTTTGTTCAATTTCTGGATAATAAGCCGAAGGAGTTTATTCATAACTCTGTTCAAAATTCAGAAATTGAACCAGCACGAATCCTGGATGGAGTTAACGAAGTTGGTAATGTTGAGTCGGCATCTGTTGCTGGAATAACAGAAGTTCAAAATTCAGAAGTTGAACCAGCACGAATCCTAGATGGAGATAAGGAAGTTGTTAATGCTGAGTCGGCATTTGTTGCTGGAATAACAGAAGTTCAAAATTCAAAATTTGAATTCATGGCTGCTCAAATTCAGGAGATAGAAGAGGATGCTGTTACGGATAATTCTGGTTCTGAACAGAATGTTGATATCCCTTCAGCCTATACCGTGGTGTAACTGAAGTTCCTTTAGACGGTGCTGGAGAAATTAATGGAAATATTGCTATTAATGAAACTGAATTTGTTACTCCTCCCTCTGAGGTAAATTTGAATTTTAAAAAGGCTGTGTGTTAGCCAAAGGGATAACGTCTTCTATTGATTATTCTTCTGGTTCTAAGCACAAACTCTTCAAAGAGCTACAAACATTAGGACCAGTGGAAGATTATCCTCGTAAAAGAAAGGCAGATCTCATTTCAAAAATAAAAAAGAGGGGTTTCTCCCCTTTTGCTCTTTAATGATTTCTCATTCTTACATTGGAAACAACATCACGGAACTTCTCAGGAGATACTTGATGATGCAAATTATGATCAAAGAGTATCTCAGATTACTTGTTCTGGATCATGGTCTCGGCTTTTGGAAGTGTCACCTAAGGGATCTTTTGGATGTTTTCTTAGGAGATTTTTGGTTATTAGTGAATACTTGTAATTTCTTTCTAATGTTTTTTCAGTTTAGATTGCTTTATTTTTGCATCTTATTTGTTTTCTAAATTTATTCTAATTGATTATGGAATTGATATTAGGTTATATTTTTTAACCGATTGGGAACTCTGGGATACTAATCGACCTTGCTGATTGTTTTTTTATATTTGGTATCCTCTCAACCCCAAGGGTTTTAAAATAAGAAATAGTGGGTATCATTTCAATTATTGTAAGTTTAGTTTAACAAATAGACTTTCAATAAGGTTTCTTTCCCTGTTGGATCAAGAAACCATTAGTTTTTTCTTTGGTTCTAGTTTGTACTAGTTTTTTCTTTCTTTCCTTTTTAATGCAATATTGCATTTCTATAAAAAAAAAAAATACTAATATTTTCAAACCTCATGCATTTGAATGTGTTATACCCATTTTTCTTCGAGTGAAATAGACCATATGAGAACCTGCTTTTTTATTATTTTTGAAATTAGAACCATCTTTAATATTTAGGCTCTTAATTTTTCTATAAAAAAAGGAGCACTGGCTGCTTTCGTGCAGCACTTTACTTTGCGTCGTGTGGGCGTCCGCATGGCGCGTCTGCCATCTCAGATTCTCAACCGTTAGCAAATAGCTGTGCTTTATTAATCTTAATAGTAAAAAATAAAAAAAATTAAAATCTGCCGTAACTTTTCGCGCCGGAACCTAATTCAAAATCAATAGGTGGGTCCCTCCCGCCTTTCTCGCCCTTCCTTCTCCCTTTTTATGTTGTTCTATTCGAAAAGGAAACGAAACGTAGCACTTACCACAGTAGCCTTCACCGTCGCTCAGATTGATATGGATGCCACAATCGATCAGTTCACCAACTCAGTTGGTAATTTTCTGTTCTTCATTTTTCACAAATTTCTTCCTTACTGTTTTTCTTAATTTTTTTAGCTATTGTTATATGGATTATTTGGGATTTCAGGAGGGTCATTACTTCGATATCCACTTCGATCCGCGACCAAGGGGAAGGATGCGAAGACATCGAATGAGGAGACGCATATCAGTTCGGCTACCAGAAGGTTTTTTTGCTGTCTTTTATGACTTATTTTGTTTGTTTCATTGATTTAGGTTTATGGAAACTATTATTTATGGGAGCAGAAAGGATGTCTCTTGGTTGTTTTCTCTATTTTTCTTGGAGGACAAGTTGGGCATCACTCTACCCCTGATTTTAGTTTTGATGCAGAGCGATTGTTAGTTTAATGAGATCTATTGGGTAAACAGCCCATTTTAAACTTTTCCATGGTGGGAATCTATTGAAAATTTTTTCCTAGACGTAAAATATGTCGGCTACTGGTATGCTTGCTGTTTTTTATTTCATGCTGTGGTTACTTTTATTTTTCTATTTCTACTTTTCATAGAACTAGGTAAACTAATCATTTAATTTATCTATGATTTTTTGAGACTATGATCGGAGGGAAGCAAAAGGGAGTTCCTTGGTTATTTGCTCTGAGATCCAATTGGATGCAGAGCCATTAGATAGATTAATGAGATCCTAGAGGAAATGTTAAGTTTGATTGTTGGGGGGTTTTAGTGGGAAAATCTGTTATATCCTATAAAATTATTTGCTGAAGAGGTCAGTCCTTCCTCATCGCAGTTCTGATTTTATAAATCTTATATTTGATAAGTTGAGAGCTGAAACCAAAAAAATTAATCACAGTCGGTGCAAATATGACATTTAGCAGAAGGATCAAAACTGAAATGAATATATTGATGGCTGTTTTTTAGCAGTAATAAATTTATAGATGGGGTGTATAGCTACTCATTATTTTTGTCATAATGATAGTAGAATTCCTGCACTTGTAACTTCTTATTTTAATTATGAAAGTAAGCCTAATTTGTTTTTAACTTGAACAGTGATCTTTATATGTTATTTGCAATAACCCCCTCATATTTTTATGCCTATCATAATCAATAAGGGACCAATTTTTGTATTAATTTTTCTCATATACATCGACTCCTTCAGTAATTTTCATCATCTTACTACTCTTGCAATAACTATAGAAATTATTTAGTTTTATATTTGCCAAGCCAAAAGGACATATAGGCGCCAATTTTCGGACTTGAGGAAGAATAAGCATGAAATAGAATGGTGCTCAATGTTTATTGATATAGATTATTTTTTATGTGCTCTGTAAATTCTAAAAAGCTGCATATGATCTCGTTATGCTATTGGTAACAAGGCACTCAAGAAAACCGGTCAGATTTATTGGCTGAAATGATTACTCTTGTGATTAAATTAGGTTGAGGACTGCACCAAATTTGGCCAAGAGCATGAGCGAACTCGATTTTTCTGGGAAAGAAAAGTCAGCGAAGCCTCCAAAGAGGATCTCAAACCTTATAAAGTCTACTAATAGTAGCCCTCATACCATATCTGCTGGAATGCTCACACCAATATCTGAAAATCAAAGGAACAGATTGAACACTCAGTTGAATGATGACACATCTATGTCTGATGCATCGAAATCTAGCCACAGGAAAAAGTTCAGTGTGTTATCTTCAGCTTCCTATTGGTTATCACTGATTAAACTTTCTGAGTCAGCTTCAAAGCACTCAGTTTCGATAGGTTTTTTTAAGCTTGCGCTTGAATCAGGAGTTGAGGTATGGTTGTGTTGATTTTATTCTTTCAGAACATTCATAATTATTTGGGCTGGAATGTCATGGTAGATAACATATTTGGATTCCTTTTTAGTCATCATGGATGTAGTCTGCTAAAAAAACAAAATCAACATGCATCCAAAGAGAATTCTTTTTTATTACCTTTTTAATTTGATTTGCTCATTTCTTGAAATAGCCTCTGCATCGAATTCGTGAAGAACTCGGGTCATATGTACTCAAGTACAACCTTCTAGAAGAACTAGAAAACATCACAAAGGATATACTCAATAGTTACAACATACAAGATCTTGAGAAGCCACATATTGTGGAGAATGATTCTCAATTACCAGATGATGTAGCCGTAAACTTGGGTGAGGTTCATAAGAACACTACAATTCTTCAGAGGGCCGTTAATTTGAAGCCAAAATTTTCAAGCATAAACACTCTTGTTGAATCAAATAAGAAAGACGTTGTTCAAAAGAGAACTCCCGCAAGTAGAAAAAAATCACCCACATCGAGGAATCCAAAAAATGCTGTTCTTATGAATGATTCAGTTGGCACAAGTGCATCTCAACAACCAAGAAAGTTGCAAATGAACAAGGGAAAAAGCTACAGCAAGTGCTCTGAGAAGAATTCTAATAATGATGAAGGTAATTGGTTTATCATAATAGCTTTAGAAAACATTTTCACTAAAGAAAATAAGGGATTAGAAACGAGATTCCTACTTTGATTGATCTACAGTTCTCAATATATATATATATATCAACAATTTAGAGCATAAGCTTAGCCATTTCATTTTCCTTCTTCCATACCAACAAATACGAATTTCTATTTTATTAAACTTTAGCAATGCTTGTGTTACATTTACTCAATTAAAAGTTTTCTGAATCAGAATACTAATACTCTATCCCATGGTGTTATTATTTCTTGTTGAATTCAGTGGATGATTCACACAACGAATTGCCAAAACTTAATGATAAAGAAAACATGGTATGCCGATCCTTTTATGTAGGTTAATTCTATTATTTTTCCACTCATAAATCTTATTTCTAATTAAAAAAATTCTCTTTCAGGCATCTGAAAGCATAGATATTTACAGCTCAAAGTAATGCGGCTTACTGAAGGCTTTCTATCATGCTGTTTCTGTTACAATACCTCGTGCTGTTCATGTCAATAGTTACCAAAAGATTGCATATTATATGATTTTGAATCTTGTTTGGCCAAAATATTGTGTGTTTAAGGTTTTTTTTTTCCTCAAGCACTTTTCCAATGTGATGTTGAAAATGATAATTTTTTTTAATGATGATTTTCTTGTCAAGCTGAAAGATTTTTATCTATGTTTGAAGAATTGTTGAGATCATCAATGGGTGTGCTGTTTAACTATGATAAATTTAGAAACAAAAATCTACAATTATCCTAGTTTTAGACATCTTAATTCATGCAACCTAGTTTTGTTGTCTTCAAATTAGTTGGCTTCTCAAAGGTTTGAGTTTCGTTTTTAAGTAGTCATTCATTTTGATTATTTTTACTGGTTTAACACTTCGAACAATTAATGATAGTTCGATTTTTCTTTTTTTAATTGGAATTTTCTTATTTTTATTGTTGGATAAGAAATATAAGACTCATGTTCTTGGCCCGGTGCATATTAGTAGTATCTTATTAAGTTTTAAATCATAACATGCATGCAATTTGGTGGACTTTATTAATTGAATTTTGTTGGAAAAATAAGAATTTAATGAATATTTGTTCGTAACAAATGAATTGTCTAAAATTTTAATGATATACTTGGACTTTAATTTAAATTAGTTAGGAAAATTGATGAATTTTAAATTAGTATTAATAAAAATTTATTCAAAATTGTGAAAGGATTTACATCCGTATGATTAGATAAAATACTTCTTCAATATAATAAATTTAAGCCATGCTTTCATCTATTGTTCATTATTTATGCGAAAAATAAAGTTAACATATATAATCATACAAAATAGAAATACACTGAAAAAGTGAAAATAATGGCTTCCAGTTATGTGTTGTTGCTCTGCCTCTTTTATAGGTTTAGTTAGAAATACTAATGTTTGTGTATAATATTGGTGGTTTCCCTATAGGCCTATATGAAAGGATATTAGTCATTTGATTATTTTTCAAATTTGCGAGTTTTGATTAGATTTGTTGTTTACTTGGTGGAATTGTGTGAAATTATAAGCAACTGTAATGTTCTACAATGTATGCATGTATGAAATAATGAGAGTTAAATTTGGTGTCATATCCGACACAATTTTCATAATAAATTGCTAGCCAGCCAACTTGGTAAATTCTCAACATTTTTCATGAAGATTTTCCAATTGAGATGAACAAGTGAGAGCGTAAAGGTGAAGGTGCTCTCCTCTTCTATAAGAGAATTTTTCGTACATTTTCTTTTAGGGAGTGTTTATGAATATGGGATGAGGGATGTTTGATAACCTAGATAATTGCATAGCAAATTGATGAGCCTTGGTTTGTTGATCGAGAGCTTTGACTATCGACTAGGAGTTCTTTTGTTCAAGTTCTACGTATATGATGTGAGTGTGAGTTTGCCTTAATTGGCCTAAATGTTCCAAAAAAAAATTTGAGATGTGTTGGACTAGCATGTCTTTTGAAAGGGCATTTTGCCTATAGTCAATCATTGTCGAAAAGAGCTATATTATCTTCGAAATCTATAGACCCTCATAAACTTGAGTAATAGTTGGATCAATAAAAGCCTTGGATGTCAAGATTAGTATTGTTGGAAATTTTAAATGGATAGGTGGATTTACAGTGATGACCTTGAGATTTGTGCCAATAATGATTTAAATTTGACAATCAAATTTGTATTTGAATTTTATGATTAGTGCATATTGTATTTTTCTCATTCATTATTTATTTAAAAGGTTTGTATATATTTTTATGGTTTGGCTGCTTGAAAGATTATCATCTTGTTTGACTATCATATGATTCAATGTTTTTTTATAGGATAGTTAACATTGTTCCAGGACTAATCACTCATCTTATTTCAATTATTAATACAACAAATTTTACTGTAGCTTCAGTCAATGAAGCTTTAGTCATTTTGTTCTACAAGATTTAGCTAAAACTTGGAGATCTACTACTGAGTGGTGTAGTCTTGCTCCATCTCAAAAGATAACATCAATAGTAGGACATGGAAAATTTCCTAATATTTTGTTAATGTTTATAATTTTCCTTGGATTTTTTCAATTCTAGTATGATATTTTCCTTTTATGGTTAAAAGGCTATAAATGACTTGGGGTTTCTAGTGCTTTGAAATTTAGGGAATAAGAATCCTAAATTAATGCATGGAGATCAAAGTTTAGGGTGTTTACTACAGATTTGAAGTTTTTTGAGAATTTTTTTTGAGGAGTTTAAATCACCCAATTGAAGGTAATCTAAATTAGGTTAGTTTTAACCTCAATTAGCCTATTCTCGCAAAACTGGGGTATTACTTATAGTTTGAAGCTTAAAAGAAAAAATAAAATTCAGGAAATAAGTCATGATAAATCATACAAACCAAAATAATAGTCATTGGAAGTTTCTCCTAACTCCTCCATGACACTTATTTAAGTTCATCATACCTATTGGGGGTCCATTTGTTAGTCTCATTTTTAAATGAAGTGTAAATCCTTTATCCTTATCATCCTTAGTGCTTAGGTATTCCCATCCTACTATAAACATAACCTAGAGGACTTTAAGGAAAAAATCCAAGGACTTATCCTTTACTAAATTTAGATGGCTTAGGCATTTCCTAATATACTTTCCGAGAGCACTAGGAAGTATCCAAGACCAATCAAAGTCCTTATTCAAGACTAAACCTACATTAAACTTAACCTTTGCACATTTACAATACATCTTGAAAGTGATTTGATCCATTATACCCATAGCCAAACCTTGGTTGATCAAGTTTGACCATGAATCTCTTTAAAAAAAAAAAGGAAAAACTAAATGTCATTTCTTAGGATAGATAAAGCCCTAGACCCTAGGGTTGTGACCTAAGACCTCTGAATAATTTTATAATCATGTTGAAACCTAATGGAGCCCATTGTGAGCCATGGTTAACCATGGTTGGCCCATTCAACCTTTGTTGATCCATTTGACCCATAAAACATATTCCATGAATTAAACCTTATATCTCCCACGCCCTAGACTTGAACATCTGCCATTGTGTGCCTAATGCATTATGCTATTAACCTTAGCCAACTTATGCATTGGGTTGACTTGGGTCAATCTAATTGGGCTAACTCAAATTTGACCAAATGATTTAAAAAATAATTACGACAAACTAGCCCATATTAAGTTTGCTTATGTGCTTAAACCCTGCCTTGGATGTGTTTGAATTTCCCCTAGCTCAAGGACTAGGTGGCAGCCTCGTGTGGTAGAAAAATGTTTCAACCGAAGCCTTGTGCAATTAATCATTGTCATTTAATCAAACTAGCTCACTCCAAGCCTTTAACATCTTGTGGACATGAAAATTCGAGTGAGCTTCAGTATGGTCATGAATATGAAAAAGCACTTTTTGATCTAATCCTTCCCAATAGTCGATCCATAAAGAACAAGTGTTCCTTGTAATACAACGCTACATTGCGGCATAACCCAAAATAGAGCTCACTAGAATAAGGGACTTGGAGATTATGAGGAGAATGAACAATCCACATCAATTTACCTGTTGGATTGGTCCTTCTACTTCCATAGATCCTACTGGATAGATTTGATAGGGTTTGGTAGAGTAGAATGCATGGTTCAAGTCATTATGTACAGACAACTAACAAGCTTGAAGATGAAATCATGGTTGTTTATTCCTTTAAAATTTATGGTATGGTCCTAATTTTATAGGATATAATTATATTTAATTGTCAAAACATTAAAGTTACATATCTATTGATCAGTGGACCAACTGATGTGTTTAAACCCTGTATGAATTTTTTTTTTAATGAGTCCTATCCATTAAAATTGGTTGTAAAGATAGTTCAATAGTGTATAACATGTAGATCAAATATAGTGTTTGTTTGGTGTAATTTTCTAGGTTAGAGACATTAGATTGGCTTCAAACTTAACTTGATGTAATCTTAGAGAATTCTTAGTATCTATTAACAATAAATTTTATACTCTTTTATTATCTTAAAAATTTGTGGAAATGTCGTGTTTTATTTGATATGGTGCATAAAATATCTAGGAAAAAAGGGAAAAAATCACAAGTGCTAAACCACCAGTGCATCGCTCCAACTACCAGTGTCATAGATTCTATAATGCCTCAGAGCTAGATCAAGATATCTTGGGTTTACTATTTATATTTTTTAAAATATAAATTATTTGTTTAAAAGGCTAAAGGAATTTTATTTTAAGTTTAAATTTTAATGATTTACTTCTTATGTTTTATTAAAATATTTTAATATTCAACTTATTTTTGTTTTAAGTTTTAAAGAACCTTAATAATTAATTACTCCAACGTGAGGTTTGAACTTATTAATTAAAAAGTAACAAGGCTCATAATTGTAATTATTTGTTCCCCCAAAAAGGGATAGAGCTATTGCATAGAGTCATTTCATTTTAATTAAGTATTTTCTTTGATGATTTAGTTAATTTTATTTTAAAAAGTCAAATTAATTAATAATTTTAAAGTGCTTAAAGTTATTAATTGACAAGTTATAGAGTTTCAAAAGAAATATTTATCCCCCCCCCCCATAAAACCTTTAACTTATTAATGATTTAATAAATAATTTAAGTTAGAGGAATGTTTTTATTCATTCATCTTAAATTTTATCTAATTTATTGTTTTATTTTATTTTATTTGAATCATTTAAATTCCCTTGAATTATCTATGATTTTAATTTTATTTTTACTAATTTTATTTTATTTTATTTGAACTTGATTTATTTTTTTAATTACACCATAAAGCATTGCAGGCCTCACTACCATCTTATAGAATTTTCCCTTTAAGTTTGAGGGGTACATTTTTATCACATAACAAGCTCGATGCATTCCTCCACTTCAACCTTCCAACTTGAATTCTGCTGATAATATCCCCATCTGTTTCACCATCACTCTGAACAATAGATCCAAGATACCTAAAATGTATACTCTT